AACCAGGGACATGAATGAGGGTGCGTTTCTGTCATTCACAGCCAAACTGGAAAAGAAAGCAAAATCTGTAAGAGGAAGATTTGAGTAGATTCCTTAGGAAGTGAACCATGTGGGGAGAAGGTAATGAGAGTGATTTTCAAGAAGTAGTAAAATGTTGGCATAGTGTCTGAGCTCAGATTGTTGGAAGAAAGTATATGGAGTTTTACTTTAATTTTAAGATTTGGACACTCATTTCAGTGTTTTAAGTGTAATATGATGAAAGACAGATTATAGTAAACTAAATCTAGTTTGACTTAAAAATTAAGTGGATAAAGAAGATTCTGCACAAATATAGATCAATAAGGAGGCTATTGTTATATTAGTGTATGAAACAATAATTTGAATTAGGAAGATGGCAAGAAAAAGATGCTTATATTAAAGATAGATCAATCATTGATGTGAAGCTCTAATCTTTGACCAACAAAGGATTTAGTTTACTTATCTATAAAATGAATACATTGATAGCCACCTTGCAGGGTTATTTTTGAGAAGATTAATCATAACATAGGAATATTACCTATGTCATATATGGAAAATAGTATGTGTTCTGAATATAGACTATTGGTCTTGCCTTCTCTCTGACTTTCACTCTCAGTTTTAACTTTTTCATTGTACCTATCTCTTCAGGCTTTTTTCTCCTATGCTTTCCTTAGCATAGGATTTAGACTGATCTTGTACCTCTTTGTTAGTATTTTGAAAGAAGTTCTTTTGAAATAAATTGACAAATTCACCCCCCACCCGTCCATTGCATGATATGATTGGGTCTGGGTAGTTGAATCCTTGACTAGCCCTGAGGCTTCAGCTGACAGAGTACCATAGTTTCCACTACAAATTAAAAGAGAGCTAGTCAGTCTCTTGGCTTCACTGCTGTCTCAAAAACTTAAATGAATAAACCTGGATGGTTCAAGAAACCACTGAGTAGATGGCCATACCAAATGATAGATCCAATCCTTTTTGTGTTATTGGTAAAGTTATCATTTTTAGGACAATTTTTTTTTATCTCAACTTGGATTCTGCAAAAATCTGTCAATGTTTTTCTGATAGTTTTGGCTGTTACTCTGTTTACTTCCTGGGGACCACTCCCTCCTACTTTTCAAGTCTCTAGACTTAAAATCACATGGTAGTATTAAAATCACATGGAAGTATTGAAAGTCAGGACTTAATAATGGAGCAAAAGACATTGTGAGGTATCCAGTGATGCAGGGAACATTTGTAAGGGTATTGTAAGCAGTTTCATAAAAAAGCAGGGGCTGTTTTGAAGGAAATAATAACATGGCCTATAAAGAGAACTGTCATACATAAGATGCATCATTTTAGAAGCAACCATGTGAAGTTATATGTTCTATTCTGAGTAGAGCATTTCATTATAATAGTCCACCAATTTTACTGTGTGATGGGCTCAGTTTCCAGTTTCCAAATAATTGTATTTTGTTTCATGAATAGCTTAGATTGATCCTTCAAAATGCATCATATGGAGTATTCCATTCTAAAAATTTACTCACCAAAAACACAATATCACTTTAGGACAATGGTTGCTAGGAAAAAAATTAGGAAGTGCAAATTATTGCTTTAGCAGGACACAAAAATGCAGCAAAACTATTTGCTTCCTAATTTGAAATGCAGATTTTGAGGGAATTATTTTAAAAACAATTAAATTATTTTAAAAACAATTAAACAGAGGTTAATTCTGCCATCATTCATACCTGTTGGCTCTCAGTAGACATGTGGAAATCTGATAATGATTGCTAGTCTTTGAAATGAACGAGTAGACTTTTAACTTCTATGTTTAATTTTTAAAATGACCAGAAATTATTTGCTACTTGCCTTATGAAGGAGTACAGTCTGTTTCCTCATATCTAGAGTATACAATGGATTTATGGTTTGCTTTGGATAACACAGTATGATAGAGGTGAAGATTTTAACTTCAAAGATAATTTGCTCACTTCAATTTATGCTCTTAAAAATATCTACTATCACGTGTATGTATCCATGCTAACCTGCCAGAAGATAAGAAGCCATTCCAGTTGAGACCTCTTTAACCAGTTTTCTGGCAGTTGACCTGAAATTCATGAGAGATACATAGGTGCACTAGGTGGCATCAGAAGAACCACTACCTAGTTGAGCCCAGCCCAAATCTAAATCCACAGGAGCATGAGATGAATAAATTGTTGCTATTTTAAACCACTATATTTGAGGGGCAGTTTTTTTTTAATCAAAGATCAACAGATAAAACTTCCTTTTGATGAGGAGTTCCTAGATTATTCTGCCATTATTTATTTGGATAGTATTTGACATACACTATAAACTAGTTTAGTATGTATTCCAGATATGAGTGTTTTTCAGGCAACTTAATAATATCATCTTTATACAAGCATTGGGGAATTGTTGAAAATCACTGATTTGGCCCTTTTTTACCATAAATTCTGTTCTTGGATATACCCATCTGAATTTTCTTCATTGTCTACATTTTGATGATTTAAATTAGATTAATCAATCAATACTGTCAGTGACATCCCCAAAGAGATACTGGGGAGTTTGAACCTCTCCTTACCAAGTTCTGCCTCAATAAGACTGTCCCTGTGTTATGGTTTAGATATGAAGTGTCCCCCAAAAGCTCATGTGTTGTGTGCTGGGAAACATGATATCCAGCATGGCAATTGTTCAGAGGTGAAATGATTAGATTATGAGAGCTGTAACCTCATCAGTAGATTAATCCAATTGAGGATTAATAATTTGAATGAACCACTGGAAGGTAACTGCAGGCAGGTAGGGCAAGGCTGGAGGAAGTAGTACAGGGGGCATGGTCTGAATGATATCTGTCATGTCCCTTTCCTCTCTCCCCATCTGCTTCCTTATCATCCTGAGCTGTGCAACTTTCTACCATGATGTTCTATCTCACTTGGGCCCAGAGCAATAGAGTTAGATGATCATAGACTGAATCTCTGAAACTATAAGCCAAAATAAACTATTCCTCCCTCCTCTAAGTTGTTCTGGTCAGGTATTTTGTTCAATGCAACAGAAAGCTGATTAATTCACCCTTTTCCTACCAGCAACACAATAAACCCTCATACACTCCATATATGGTAATTCATTGTCTATCTCCCCTTTAGGATATGTATAATTATGCCTATATTGATAAATTCTTGTTTGTTCAGCTTGATTTTCAGGTGATATATCTCCCCATCAGAAAAAATATATTCAAAATAAGTGAGCTACTGACACATGGTGATAACTGGATGATAATGTTTTATTCACATTTAGTACATTAATTCACTCAACATTACAAAATTGGAAATCATCTCTTAGATATTTTTCCTGGTAAAATAACAAACTGTCTTAGATAATCAAAATTTATCTATCATCCCCTTACATCTGTCCTTCTAACCCAGACCCACCATAACACCCAACTCCATACAGTGGCCTCTTCAACCCTTAATATTGCTGGTTTTAATGAATCAGAATATGAAATGAGCAATGTTATAAACTCCTGCCAACACTTGCAATGATAATATTTTGCCAACTAGAAAGGGCCCAATTTATAAAATTAGCCTTAGAACCTTTTTGTTAGAATGCATAATTTTATTCTTTTTCTCTTTATGGTTTCATCTTCATTAGGTTGAAAAAAGTGAGAAAAACTTAGGTGGCTATAAGAAAATGGGTTGAAGGATATTGCTGGATTTAAAATAGTGATGAGGCAGCATGAAGGATTCATATATAAAAATAACTGGCAGCAAATGCTTATTGACAAAAGTAAAATATGCTTCAAGAAGAACCAAACTATCTTGTATCTACATGAAATAGGCTTTCTGTACTGAAAGTCACCTGGTTCATGCACTGAATTACACATACATTACACATTCTATCAATTTTTCCTCTAGTTTGACTTTCCAGCTTAATTGCCCTTTGATATATAGTAATGGTGTCCTCTTTTCCAGTTTCTAAGCTTCCTAGGTCAGAGTTCTGTCCTGGCTTCATATTGGTCTATAACTTTTCTAAACTACTATGTCTAAAATTTGTTATATATCTAATACCTCAACTGTACATGACAACATGATTGAATCTCAATATGTAAGTATTTCTTGTTCTAGATCCAGAATCACAAATGCCTATTCTAGGATAGAGAGCCTTTATTCATTAGCCTTTCTGCCTATAGTTTATCCACAGAGCCTTCTGTTTGTTTTCTATGCCCTTTTCACCAGAATTTCCCAGCAGTTCCCAAAGTTTACTAAAAAAGTTCTGGGTAACTTCCGGTGAACTCAGTTTCTTTTAGGTGGGCTGTATTCTTCATTAAGCTGCTTTAAATTGCTTCATTGACCATAATATCCCTGGTGGTTGCCTATGGATATTCTCTAATCTAAATTTCTTTGAATTAGCAGAAGTTTACTTACTTGGCTACAAGATTATTGCTTCTGCTTATAGATTCTTACTGTTGTGAACAAAATTATCAATTTCCCCTAGAAACTGATATAAAACCTAAGGTGATTGATTCCTTCACATGCTTTCTAGATATTGTAATTTGAAAAGATGCTTTCTTCTCCTTGGCCCTTCCTCCTCACTTTCTTTTGACCTGCATCATAGATGAGTTTAAGAGTACTTTGATATGCATCATAGATTAGTTTAAGAGTACTTGAGTCTAAAGTCCAATATTCATGCATGAGATATTATTGTCATGTTGAATTCTAACTCACTTTATTTTCTAGGTTCTTATTTAGTCTGTGATTTTCACTTTGAATGACTTGTTACCAAGGCACATTCTTGATTAGTAGCTATTAATTTTCTATTCAGATTTCATAATAGTGCATCAGCAGACTAGGAGGTGAATTTTATTTTGTTTGGTTCTACATATTAGGACAAATATTTTTAAATGCCTTTGTTAATCATAAAGTTAAATGATTGAGTCAAACCAAAGCTACTAAAATTATGGCTTTTTAAATTTTAGCTAGGTTTTCTTTTCTCCCTAGGTATAAGTCACTGAAAGGAATAAACAACACATTTATGGAGTCTGAATCATACCTGGAAAATATGTTTATTTAAGGAGAAGAAAGGAAAGATTCTGACAGCAAACGTTTCTTTGAACTTGAAGATTGAGGGGTTTTTTTTTTTTTGACCTCTGACAAGTTTTAAGCTAATGTTAAAACAAAATGTAACTGTTTATCAACAAAAATCTAAATCTCATTAAACTTGAGAATATACATTTATTGAGGCATATACCTTTTTGGCTCTACCGAATGCCCTGGAATAGAGGAAGAACTAGATAAATATTCACTAAATGAATAAATGACTGGGCTCATTGCATGACAAGACAGTTCTTAAACTCACATGTTTAAATACAATAAATGCACTGAAGAACAAAACAAAGAGGAGTCATTTAAGATGTGCTTAAGTGCATCCTATTATCTATTTTATGGAACTAGTCCATATTTAGACAATTGTTGCTTAGAGATCAATGACAGGTGCATTGCATATCTTTCACTATTAAAAAACATAATTGATAGTGTGGATTGAGTTTTTAGTAATATTTTTGCCTCTGTTCTTATTATTTCTACTAACATTGGCAATAGCAAAGACTTTTTTTTTTGCAAAGATTTTTAAAATGAGAATAGCATGTGATTACAAGCTCTTGGGTAAAAGAATAAAGAAGATACATTTATACATGTCATTCCATTTTAAAGCTATCAAGGTTCCCTGCTGTTTACTAGGTTAAACTCATCATACTCCTCAAATTGATTTAATGGCTCATTATCTTTCCATTCTTTTACAATGTTAACATAGGAACTGTAGATGGGTATTGTGGAAGGTAATTATTCACTGCTATTGAGTTCTCCTCTACTTCCAAATAATTGGGTGTTCACATTTCCTTATTGTCTGAAGCCACATTACTTACCTTTGCCCAAGACATGATAGTATAAAGTGTCACTTATAGACAGAAATATTTAATATTTGGCGTAAACTTATCCATACTCTATTTCTATTGTCATGATAACCACTCGCATTGAAAATGATGAAATTCCATCTCTTGAGAATGAACAGAAAAATAAACTATTGTGATTTGGGAGTTGTTTGATAAAGCAGACTATCCTGAATAATAATAGACAGTAATTTTTTTTCTTTCCCTCTTGCTGAGTTCCATATGATAATCTCAGTAGATGCAAATAAATCTTTTGACTGAATTCGACACCTATTAACAATTAAAATGTATCAAGGAGCATGTGGCACCAATATAAAACAAGCTATATGATGGTATATTTAATTCCAAATGTATTAGTAATGGTCTGTCGGAAGCCATGTATAAATTATGGGTTTGTTTGAGCCAACATAAGGCAGGGAAGCTGCTTTTCTGGGAACTCCTGAGTGAAATTCCCCAAGAAAGCCCAGATCACACTGGAACCCTGCCTTAGCTCACAGCCCTAGAATCAAACACTGCTGCACAGAGATGGTCGTAACCTGCCAAGCACCAAATATGCTGTTTTTCCTGAAGAAGCACCTTACCAATCTCCTTTGGTCTGTACTGCTATAAATAAAGTATTCTTGGGGTTTTCTCTTGATGAGGAATCAGAACCATCAAGTCTAATCCACCCGTCACTGCTCCTGTTTATATATATAATATGTATTAAAATATATATGTACATGTGTGTGTATGTTTGTATATTTCTTGTCTTTTGTGTTTATTTTGTAATGCTACTTTCATAGCTTTTATTTCGCAGCCAGCCCACATCTCCAACAGTTACCCACTCTCTTCCCATGCAGGACATATCCAGAAATGGCCTTTTCCAGGTATTGCTTCCATCATGAAATGAATGTTTGTGTCCTTCAAAATTCATATACTGAAAATCTACTTCCTCATGTGATCATATTAGGAAAAGGAGATCATATTGATCTTTTAGTATTATCTTTTGGGGATAATTAAGATTATTTGAGGTCATGAGCATGGAACCCTCATGAGAGGGATTAGTTTTTACAAAAGAACTTGCATCCCCTCCTCACCACTTGAGGACCCACTCAGAGGTAGCAGACTTTCACATTAAGTATTACTAATTCTGAAATGCGTTCCCTCCCAAACCCCCACAAAATCCAAGTTTAAAAGGTTTGGGCTTTCTTTGTTTCTTTATTTCCTCTTTAGGAAGTTGGAGGCTGCAGTAGATGACAAAAAATTCAAGAGGCAATAACTTGTCTTTTGTTTTGGGGAAAGTATTCTACAGGTCTGCCACCTTTCAGAGGAGAACTAGAAGAACTTTGCCACATGACAGGTTCTTGAGTCTTCACAGAGCTTATTTACCACGGGCTCAGTCTTTGAAATACATGTGTTATGCTCAGGACTCCAGCATACTGGAGTTACATGTTATTCATATAATGAATCAGTGTGATGTTCAGGGCTGTCTAGACCACCAGGATCTCTTCAAATTACATTATGAAAGAAAGCAGCATATTAACACCCATAGAGTAAATAGACATTATTATCAATATTATGTTAAAGTACAATTGTTTCTTTTTTCTCATAAAGACAGGAAAACACATTCATCAAATCAATATCTGTATGCTGTGCACCTGAGGACTTAACTAATCTGCTTCAGCATAGTTTTTCATATTAGAATAGTAGGCCACTATACTGATGGTCCTTGATCTATGATGGCTTGATTTGTGATTTTTTTTTTATTTTACAGTGGTTAAAAGTGCTATTTATTCAGTAAAAGTGGTACTTTGGATTTTGAATTCAGATCTCTACCTGGGCTATCAATATGTGGTAAAATAATCTCTCACAATTAAGGGCATTGATAACAACATATAGCTCCTAATCCTTATGTAATTAAGTAATGGAAAGAGTGATCTACTTCAGATGTCAAGGGCCTGAAAAAAAGAAATAGCAGATTTGATCAGGCATTGGGGCAAAAAATAATAAAGAGTTGGGTTTTTTGAATTGCTATCATGTTATAAAGTTTTACTCTTTCAATGTGATAGTCACATGGAAGAGTCAAATCAACTTTAGATGGTAGTACCATTAATAAGGATAAAGAATGACTACAGAATAATCAGGTTTAGAGATGAAAGAAGGCATTCTTTTGAATGTAAGTTTGAGATAGGAATAAGATATTTAAGTAAAGGAATAATGTAAGCAATTTATTGCAGGAATTTGAGCATAGAGAAAGAGGACACGATTGGAGATATAGAATTGAAAACCAGTGTTTATAGTATTGAAGCTGGGGTTGAATAAACTCAGAACAAGTGCTATGACTGGGGGGACTTAGAACAAAGTGATGAAAACTCCCATTTAGACATCAGAGAAAGGAGATGACTTGGACTTAAGATACTGAGAAGAAATATTCATAGATGTGGTAGGAGAATGATTAGAGATGGATGTCACAGAAATCAATAGAAAAGGCATGAAATGTTGATAAATTTGCCAGGTGCTACCAAGAAGTCAAGAAGAAGTTTTTAAATGGTTCTTTGATTGAAGCTTGAAGATTATCAACAATAGATGTTGAGAATGGTGGGAACAGTATTCATATAGGAGAAGGATGGAGAGCAAGTAAAAAGAGAATGAAGAAAAAGCAGTAGAGTGCAGTCAACATAAAAGTTTGCTGTGAATAGAAGTAGAGTAGATTTCTAGAAATAGCTGGGAAGGTATATGGGCTCATGAATTTTGTTTAAGAAAGGGAAATGTTAAAGCATCCTTAAATTGTAATGTAAAGGATGAAGTAAAACTGAGAGTTTAAAAAAAGCAAGAAATGAAAGGTATAGTTCTTGGTGTATTTGTCAAAGCCATGAGTTTATAGAACCAAGGATTTAAGTGAAGAGATTTTCTTTTGATAAAAAGAATACTAACAAAATATGTCACAACAAATTGAATGAAAGAAACCTCAGTATGCAGAATCTAGTTCATGGCCCAAGAATTTTTTACTGAAAATCATTTAGTTCTGTTCCTTAAACAAGAAGGTTGGATGGGCATTGAATTGTTATAAAGAATCTGATTGCAGTTAAAAGAGTTGAGGTGAGCTGAAATGGCTGTGCTCTTGATCTAGAGATCTATAAATTTAAAATATATTATCACATCATAACTTAAACATTCAGGAACTCTCTTATGTAAAAAGCAGGAATTCTTATTTTTATACTGGTTCTTTTTAATTATATACTAGAATCCATTTTGATATAATTATACAAGCATGGACTATATCTTATTCTAATTAGGACCCCATTCTTGTGGATGTACCGAATGTTGAGATTTACTGTGGCGTATTTATATATGTACATAGAAAAGTTATGTCGGATTTATTTCAGTGTCTTTCCTTTTCCTAACCCCTTTCCTTCCCTTCATTCCTCTTTGTCTAATCCATTGAACTTCTATTATTCCCTCCACCCCCATTACTCTTGTTTAACTTCCACATATCAGAGAAAACATTTGACCTTTGGTTTTTTGGGATCGGTTTATTTCACTTAACATGATATTCTCCAGTTTCATCTGTTTACCACAAAGTCCATAATTTCATTCTTCTTTGTGGCTGAGGCATATTCCACTGTGTGTATATACCACATTTTCTTTATCAATTTATCTGTTGAGGGGCACCTCGGTTGGTTCCAAAAGCTTGGCTAGTTTGAATTGAGCTGCTATAAACATTGATGTCACTGTGTCACTATAGTATGCTTAAGTCATTTGGGTATAAGCTGAGGAGTGTGATAACTGGGTCAAATGGTGGTTTAATTCCAAACTTTCAAAGGAATCTCCAGATTACTTTCCACAGTGGTTGCAACAATTTGCAGTCCCACCAGTAATGTATGAATGTACCCCTTCCCCACATTTTTTCCAGAGTTTATTGTTACTTGTAATCTTGATAATTGTTGTGCTGATTGGAGTAAGATGAAATCTCAGAGTAGTTTTCATTTGCATTTCTCTAATTGCAATATATATTTTTATATTTTTGTTGATTGTTCTCATTTCTTCTTTTGAGAAGTGTATGTTTAGTTTCCTTGCCCATTTATTGAATGAGTTATTTGTGGAGTTTTTTGCTATTAAGTTTTTTTAATTCTTTGGATATTCTGGAAATTAATGCCCTATCTGAGGTGCATGTGGCAAAGATTTTTCTCCCATTTTTAGGTTCTCTCTACACACACTTGATTGTTTCCTTTGCTGTGAAGAAATGAAAAAGCAGGAATTCTTTAATGCTTTCTGCATATCTACTGTGTGCTCTGTCTTGGAATATGGCTACATGTTTATTTTGGTTTATTTACAATTTACAGAAACCATATAGCAGAGCTATTATTCTTTTCATTTTATAGATGATAAAATGAGATTTTTTAAAGAGACATTAAGTTATTCAAGGTCACAGGGCTGAAAAAGGGGACCAAAAGGAACTAAAAATTCATGTATGCATAAGTCTAGTTTCCCATCTACATTACAGGAATGTTGGAAAATATAAATTACTATAATCAGTAAAGTGCCTTGTACTCTTTTGAGAATAAAATCCCATTATATGTTTAGAATGATTTTTAAACATATGGTAATCGCAGATCTACCATGCATATCTTGAAAATTTATGTAACTAGAGACAGGAGTTAAAAAAATCAACTGCAA